TGGATCACGAATGATTTGTGTGAACATAGATGCATTTAAGCAGGGATCGGCGCATTCCCTTCAAAACGAAAGTAATGTTAATCCTGTGTCTTCAGCAGGGTGGATTTTTATCATTATAGGGTGGATGTGTACACACACTTCCAACACACATTTATGTTCAAAGAACAACAAAGGTGAATTTTGCATCCGATGACCCCTTTAAAATTTTTGGCTAATGATCTGGTCAAAACATCTTTTTTCTCTTTTTTTCCACTGAGCATTTTGTTGATTCCGTTGGAGGCTTTGATTGATAAAGATTTTTCATGCCCGTGCGATGCTGAGCAAAATGCACACTTAATAAACCTAATCCTCATTGCACCATTTATTTTTGTTTTAGGTTTAATGTGTATTTTGCAGCTAATTAAGCATGGACCTCCAATGTCTCGTAGGCAGTTTAAACATTTCTTGTTTACCCTGATTCCACCTTTTGTGTGGATCATACTTGTGCTCCTTGATGGCGATTATGTTGCCTGTCAGAGAACAGACTGGAGTGGAGTGTACGTTTCAGATGATCAACAACATGTGAAATGGTGACAACCCACTGAACCAGTTCCAGGAAAAAATCATACTGAACTCCAGGCTCTGACTATCAGCTTTATTGCCAGTTCACAGGTAAGTCATATACTGGAAGATTTCTCCATGCTCCAATCTTCTGAAATATATAGGCTATGTTAAGATCATTAAAAAAAAAATGTGATGCACACAAAATTTCACAAATTCTCTGAAGTAGTGCATGTATAAAAAGGGTTTCAGTGTGCAAGAAATAAGAATGAGCTCACTCATCGCTTTAAGCATTGATTGAATTAGAATTTAAGTACAGTACTGTCACTTTAAGTATGCATTATCATAATTGTTTTTGTATTATATCAATGCACTGATTTTGCTTTTTTTTATCAGATTTGCGGTTTTGTGATGCTCCTAGTCTTGGGCTTGATCATAATAATAGTGGTTGTACCTTGTGTCTACTGCTGCACTGGTGAAGAGCCACCGCAAACAACAGAAGATAGAGGAGAATATATGGGTACTTTTGCTTGCTATAGAAGTGAAGCAAACTTGCCACTTCAATTCGAATGTGAATAAATGGCTGAATCATATGATTCATCCTGTTTTTTTTTAAAATATATTTTTACTGTATTCATCTTTTTTTTTTTTTACTTATTGTTTTTACTGATCCTTGAATATACAAGAAAGTAAATCAACAATAATCACACAACCAAGACTGTGATATTGCTTTCATAAACAATTCAGTGAAACAAGAATGTAAATAATTAAGAAAGGGTCAAGGACTCTATTATTTGTATACAAATTTTAGTGGATGATATGTAAATTAAATGATTATGCAACAGGAATTGCAGATGTAATACATACTGCACATATTCAGTGTTTTCAAAATCAGTAAATGTTTCACAAGGCTAGTTTATTTTTTTAAATCATTTTCTCTAGACACACCTTAAATTCTTGGCTTTAACTGTTTCCAATGTTGTTGCAAATGACATTCTGGAAGCTGGCATGTTGATCCATTAGCAGGGCTGCAGATTATATGATATAGATATAAATGTGAATGTATCATGTGTAATACAAACAAAGAAATCGTGTAGATGGATTTCCAGCTCTTCCATGTTTCATCTTGTCAATTTGTATTAATGGATTTGTTGTTTGTGAAGTTACCTGTTGGTAAAGAAGAAATAGAAATAGTATCTTTATACTTCAATTAAATCACTTAAACCACGTCAATTCCCCCCAGTGTGTATTTTGTAACTTTTTTTTTTTTTTTGGAATATGCAGAACCTGGAAGACTCTGCAACTGGAATATATACTTTCATATATACACTGAACAAAATGATAAACGCAACACTTTTGTTTTGACTTTTTCTATGTACACAAAAGGTCTATTTCTCTCAAATATTGTTCACAAATCTGTCTAAATCTGTGTTAGTGAGCACATCTCCTTTGCCGAGATAATCCATCCACCTCACAGGTGTGGCATATCAAGATGCTGATTAGACAGCATGATTATTGCACAGGTGTGCCTTAGGCTGGCCACAATAAAAGGCCACTCTAAAATGTGCAGTTCCCTTTCATGGGAACTTCGAACTGCGTCCTCTAGGGGTCGCTATGGGGACGCCTCGTCGTGACCCATGTCTGAAGCATACATTGAAAAAACACCAACAACACGTTGGCCG